CCAAATTAGTTATTTAATAACAACTCAGAATTTGCCTTGTCCAGTTCTGCATGTAAATTGAGAAAAAAGGTTTCCTTTCTCCCCTCCAAGAAGCGTAGTTAGCAACCTTCTGTAGATTGATCGAGGCCAAGAAAACATTGAAACGGAACGGATCACGACTCATTTTAAAGCCATGCCAATTATGTATGAGAGGGTCAGATTCCTTTATTCTAAAGACTAGCATAACACCCTTCTAACAAAGACTGAAATTCACTTAGAAGATCCTGGAATGATTTCATTCCAGAATTGATAAAAGCAGTTACTATTGTATCAATTTCCGACTTAATGTTCGAGTTTAAGCTATATATGCTTTTTTAGCCAAAAAATAGGGTCGGAAGTAATAAGTAACTCACCAAGTTAATTATAGAGTCATTAACTGACAAATGACGTAAAATCTAAATGAGAACTGATAAATGACCGAAATTTTAAGTGATAAGAGACATTTGAACCCCCCATCCAGACCTTCAATTTTGAATCTGAATTGAAATGAGTTTTTCTTCTTTTTTGGAGTTCCTCCACTCCACGATTTTCGAAATTTTTAGTGCTCTTGCTATGCACGTGATAGAAAATCGATACAGTTATCACTGGAAAAAACCGGATAGAAAAAATAACAGAAAAACTCTATTTGCAGACTTGCATTGCAGCGTCCGAATTTCTATAGGGAGCTACCTTGATTTTAACTATTTTTTGAGGCTTTGTCTCGCAACCTCTAACTGAAAAAATTGTTTTCTCATGATTTTGTTTTGTCAAGATGGTGTTAAGACTCACAATGTCTCTATGTCTGCGGGGAAGAAGCAAGTGGAAAGTGCTCTGATAGAATATCACACCAACTGTTTCAGCTGAAATCTTCATCAGTCTTAATCACAAAGTCAAATTAAAATAAAGGAAAAGTATATTTCTTTTTTTTTTTCGAAATGATTTAGGTCTAAGTAATGAATTTGTTTCAGCTAGGTAATTCAATTCATTTAAAAAACCGACAGTGGACTTTTGTTGACAATAATTATGAACAAAAGTAATGTTTTAGTATTGTTTTAGGCAACAAAAGTAATGATTTGGAAAAATCGGACCGTTAACGACAAGAATACTATAAGATGCCACATTTTCTGACCGACTTTTGAAATGAAAGGACATAACCAATTAAGCCATCTTGATTCAAATTTTTTTTTTGAGGCTTTGTCTCGCAACCCTAAACTGACATAATTACTTTCTCATAATTTGCTTTGTCAAGATAGTGTTAATATGATGTCTCCATATGGGGAAGAACAACAAATTTTTGAGCTTAAATTTCCAACAGTCTTAACTTTGAAAGTAAAATTAAAAGTAAAGTAAAAATTTTCTTTTTAATTACTGAGGGTCTGAGTAATGAATTTATTTCAGCGAGGTAATTCTAATCATTTAAAAAAGGGCGAAGCGGGTCTGGTGACCACAATCATGTTTTCAACAGACGAAATGACTAATCATTCGCACTAGCTTTGAAGCTGTGAAAAAAGAAACGTGAAAACTTTGTCCAAAACACACGACTTTCTTCCAAATAAAGGAAGATCTAAAAGTCTAAGGGAATACTAAAAAAAAAAAAAAACATCGCGAAAAGGCGTCTAACGAGAAACAAAGGTAAGAATATTTTAAAAGGTTCACCTCACCCATGAAAGCTCTCACCATCAAAGTATTTCTTCTTTGTAGACAATAATGCATTGTGTGGTGCTTCAGTTTTACCGAATGCACCAAATTAAACGCGAGAAATCGCCTGAAATATGTTACATAGCTGAAGGTTATATCTCCAAATGTTAGAAATGGATTGTGAGGAAGAGTTCGTTAAGTTAAGAAATATTGTTGGCAGATCAAGTCTGGGAATATATTTCACCGAGTGTATGTTGATCGAGAGATAGGATATTCCTCAATCTGTGTTTTTTTTTGCTCCAGAAAATGTAGATGCTTAAAAATTGACTCCGTCCTTTTTGTCAGATTATGGCGCAATAGGCAGGGAATGTGATAGAAAACTGGCATAACTTGTTATAATTTGGTCCACAAGATCAGTGAATTTTTTTCCCTTTGAAGAAAATTTGTGGGTTGTTAATTTAATTTATTGGAAAAATGTGTTTTAGGTTGAAGTTCGGTTTGAGTAAGCAAATGGAATACATAGTGACGAAAGAAATGTGGCCTAGACGGCGAAGGTTATTTGTTGTGTTAAGTAACCACTTAATAATTGTTTCAGTTGCCACTTCCAGCGATTTCATTGCCGGACAGCAGCTGAAATTTCCGAGAGATTTTGGGTCTTTCGAAAGCAAACTTTGCAGATCAATCTGAGAGGTCTAAATCTTTAAATGCAAATTACTATGTCGTGCGCCGAAATGCTTGCCACCAAACGTAGAGACAACTTTTTCTTAATTGCGTGCGATAACCATACGCATCAAGATTAAACGATGTAACCTTCGGAAACAAAATGTCTTCATGGCCTTATTTTTTCCAATTTCAAAATTTCTATTTGGAAAGGGAGGGAGGGAGTGTCAAATTGCCTTAAAGGTATATATTCGGCTATATATTCTCTATTAGTCAAAAATCTGTGGCTGTCAAACCAGGTATCACTTTCCGTTTGAATATGAAAGGCAATCATGCGAAAACCGATATCGTTAGGCTGAATGAGTTATCAAATTGTATAGGCTTGCGAGAAGGATTTTTTATGATCGATGAAACACATTTGCAGCCTAATTTTAAGAGAATTAGAGAATTTTTAACAACGCATGTATTACCCTACTGTATCAAGATTGAATTTTTTAAACTTAGGAGATATATGGAAAATGTTCAAATACAGCATTGATACAGAAGGTCTCTCATTAGAAATTTCCTTCATTGAAGTCACCACAGTTTCAAAGCCGATTAGTTTTTAATTAATTGAACCTTGGTATCATTTGTCGCAACGAAATAAAAATGTAGGTCCGTTTCGACAAAAGCTGACCAATTACAGGACAACTCATTTTGTGGCGGCCTCTTGCAAGAGCAGAGAAGAAAAATTAGCAATCCTCATTTCGATTTTGGCCATCACCTACGGCTTTGTTTGATATTCTAAGTGAGGAAATTAATTTCGTTGTGAAACCAAAACAATTTCTGTGTGAATCCCGCTTAAATTTATGAATGACGAATGATACTTTTTTCCCATACTCAAATAAAGGCGAAACCAAAAAGCTCGGACTTTTGAAACTTGACTTTGACTTAAAACTTTCAAGGTCTATTTTTTTAAACTATCTACGACACATATAAATCTGGCCTCATTTTTATCATTTCTTGAAATGATATGGTAAACTTTGTTTTCAATTCTTCCTCAGATCGATTTTCTACACCCATAGTCGCAAACGTGTATCAGTTGTTGTCTTGTTTTTGCCATTTTAATGTCTCTTTGGAAGAAACGAGCTCAATCTGCCAAAACCTTTCATTGTGAAAGGAACTTGTTTTAACCACTATGTCTAAATAAACATTTCATTTGAGATATGTGAATCGGTCATTAGGCCAAAATAAAATAATTGAAGCCCAAATGGAACTTTTTCAAGACTACGATTTACCTTTTCAATGAATAGAATCAATCAGTTCAAGATAACAATAACCTTTTCCGCTAAATTTGAAGCCTTTGATAGCTTTGAGGAGCTGAAGTGAAAGCCGCGGTACAAAGAACGCAGGATTGTTGTCATTGTGAAATAGATTTGATAGTTTTAGGAAATGTCTTTAAATTTCTGGGCGAAAGAACAACAGAAAGAAACAAAATATCCAATTTTATTTTAGTAACGAATTAAAAATTTGAAGAGTGTTCTCTCAAGTTATTTTACTTTGTTCTTCACTAGTCTCGTTGCTTTTTTCACATAATTACAAGTCAAAAGGAAAAGCCTTTTCACCAAATGAAAAGCCCTTTTTCCTGATTGAAGACTTGCTTTTTAGCTGAAGGCTGAAGAACCTTTCGTTAGCCTAGGGAACAGTCATTTAATATCGCTTAGTGATGGGGGGGGGGGCTCATTTTAACGTGAGCAGAGAGGAAAATCACCAAAGAGAAATCTAGATGGACTGTCTGAGTTAGAACTCAAACACAGCTAACTCTCGTACATTACATATAATTTCGTGTTGAAAAACAAAACAGGACAAAAAAGGAATGATAAAAAAATAACCAAACCGGCATAGCTAAAACTTGTACAAAGCTTGATGGTGTCAGAGCGAATGCGATCATGTTGTGGTCCATCGTAGCTAGCTTAGCATGGCGATCTCCGGTCATCACAGTGAAGCAAGCCTAAGAAATTACATTGTCCACCATTCGAGTGAACAACTAAGAGCTTGCTCTGATTTTCTTTCCGATACATTGAGTGGAAGGCCACATCAGTCGCAACCGCCGAGTTTTACGGCACTGCAAACCCGAGCAATCTTCATGTGAATACGGCTGTTGTTGTTCATTCATAAGACACACACTTTGAGTAGCATGTTTTCTAATTGCCTTTTGAGAGAGAAAAAAACTTTTTTAGGGAAATAGACTTCGTCTCGTATTTTCCCTATGCTTCTTCTGTGCTCTAGCCGCTGAGTGCGTGATTTACAACAGAGCAGAGTACAGTCAAGACTTCTTTATTTGTTAAGTAAATGGAGGGGGGAATAGAAAATTGACTCCCAGTAAATGGGACTAGATCAATTTTATTGTGCCTCAACAAGAGACCGCACTGCAAAGGCGGCGAACGGTCAGACTTCGGAGAACTCCGTAATTTTGAACGCGTCACGGTTTGTGCCTGCTGCAATTTTTACATTTTACGTCCTTAGGATTCGACAGAAATAGAGTGCTGTTTTCATGGGATGTAACCGTTGATGAATTGCACAAATATTATACCGATGTCTGTGTAAAGGGTTACGATGTTGTCCGCCATGATCGAAAGCGATCTGGTGGTGGGATATGCATTTATATAAGAAAGTCAATAAGGTTTGTAAAGAGAACTGACCTAATGCCGGAAAATCTCGAGGCTGCTTGCATCGAAGTTACAAAACCGAATGGTAGACCTTTTATTTTATTTATCAGCCGCCCGTTGCAGCTGTAAAAATATATGATAGTATAGAGCGTATGATTGGGCGAATGGATAATGAAAACAAGGAAACTTATATTCTTGGTGGCCTCAACTGCGACTTATTAGACCAAGCTAATCTTGATAAGTGACGCAAAGCATTTGTTGCGAATCTTCGAGGTATATCAGCTTACGCAATTCATAACTAAGCCCACACGAATGACGCAATGGTCTGAGTCACTTTTGGATGTATGTGTAGCGAATGCACCGGTAAATTTCCAAACAGTAACTCGTACCATACAATTTATTCGAAACTAGTGATTTCTGACGGTTTGGATAAAGGGAGTACACGAAATATCACAAAGAAACGATGAAAGGACGACAGACTGAATAACATACTGTTCTTTTTCGCGCGAAAATTTAAATTTATCCATTTGATGTAACAGTATGTATTACTTCCTGTCCTGGGAAGGTAATACATTCAGATGTATTTCATGTCGGCCTTACTGACCATAGTCTAATTTATGCAGTTCGCATGATAAATAGCTTACCCAAGTGCAATGGAAAAGGGAAATCGAAGTTAGAAATTTCAAAAACTTTACCAGTCAACTTTTTCTCGAAGACTTACAAGCTTAACCCTGGGCGCATCTATCTCTTCACGAAGCTGATGTGAGTGCGATGTGGAACTTTTGGAAGACTATGTTCCTTGAAGTGTTCGACAGACACACCCCTGTCAGGTCAAAAAGTGTGAGAAATGGGCCCAGCCTTCCGTGTTGTCTAAGGATATCAGGGATAAAATGCTGAGGTGTGATCGTCTTAAGTGCATAGCTATAATAAAAAACGATGATGTTAGTCAGGGTCGTCCAGAAATTAAATGAATGTTGCGTTACGTAAAGCTAAAAGTGCTATTTACGCTTTGAAAATAGAGAATTTTGGGCCCACTGTTCTTTCTAGTTTATACTAGCGATTTACACACCGCACCTCGAATGTTTGTCGATGATACTAGCTTGACGGGAAAAGTATCGAAGAAATCGACTTAGGGCCTAATGAAGACTGAGATAATATCAGATTATGACCACAGGCAAATAAGCTCGGCCTTTAGTGTTGCGAAGACAGAATATACCCTCATCGCTTCCCATCAAAGATTGACTAAGCTTTTCTAAGAACAACATGTATGCATTGGAAGAGATCCGGTCAAAAGGGTCAAATATACCAAAATACTTGGAGTTCACATTGATAAATCTCTTACGTGGAGCAAGCATGTCGAAGAAATAACTATTAGGATTACGGCATGAATTAGTACTTTAAAACGGCTCAGATATTTTGGAAGTCGAGCTGTACTTGTTTAAGTTCATAATGCACTAATTATGCCTCATTTTGATTATTGTTGTGAGGTTTGGGATTCAGTAGCAAGTGTACTAGCCGAAAGATGTGCTAGGGTAATTATGCGTTACAAAAGCGAGGCTGGACAGTCTGAGTTAGCCCTACGTCATCTTGGTTGGAGTTTACTAAGCGAACGTAGAATTCATATGGAGGTTAGACAAACGTTTAAGGTTCTCCGTGACTTGGCACATGCAAGGCTTTCGAACATTTTCAGGGACTCTTGCTAGGCCAACAATTATCATTTAAGGAACTCTGATGATATGTTGGCCGTTCCGTTGCCCAAGACTGAATTTTTAAAGAAGAGTAGAGTGCGTTGGCGCTGACTCTTCTGATGGAAAAAGCCTTAAATCGTGATTATAAAAACAACGATGATCGTAATTTTCAATTTACAAACTTCTCATTTATTGACTTTTTCCTTACCGACAGAAGAAGTCTTTCAGCTAAACGGCCAAAATCGGCCAGTAGCAAATTCTCCAGTTGTCGATTTCATTTTCAGCCGAGAGAAATGCTAACACCAAAGCCACTGAATATGTAACTTTCGGTTTTTCTACTAGGAGTGTTTGAACCTCATTGTCTGTCAGCAATACGGATTTTTTAGTGTTTTCATCAACCTGACCGAGTGGCGCCAAAGGCGAGTGACGTGTAAGAAGCTGATTTGCTATATCAATACACGTGAAAAAATACGATATTTTTCCACGTGTGTTTTTACGGCTTTTCTTAGGGCCGGAAATCCTTGTATAACACCACAGTTTATGTGATAATTTATTTCCTAGGGTTATATTTAATGCATTAATAGTTCAAGTCATGGATATTAGTTTATAAATACATATATATATATATATAAGTGAAGGAATCAAAGAGGACACATCGATTCTCTTTTACTCTGAGTTTCGCGCCTAAGCGCTCGTCAAACAGAACTTTATTCAATGAAGAACATACCTCCTTATTTACAAATTAGATGAGTAGCTAATTAATTCATTAGTGTGATGATCTGATCTATGTGTGAAATAAAGATTCTATAGAGCTATTGTTGGCGGCTTGTGAAATTTGCTAAGTAAAACTTATTCTCGTGGCGGCCTTTTAGAAATGAGTTCTGTTCTTTTGTTTAATAAAGACGGTTTCTTAGCTCTAACAAAATAAAGTTTTTCTGTGAGGCACAAGTGACACCGCTTGCTTTTGTTGCTGTAGGCAGGGGCGGTCGCTAAAATACTCCAGTTTATTGTAAAATTGGAGTTGCTGTCTTTGAGTGTCCAGATATGTTTTGATAGTTCCGTGCTGTTTGAATAGTTTCTGTTCCGAAAAGAAAGTTTGTGTTGCGTGTAACGTTGCTTAAAAGTTGCTTCAGTAAGTCCAATGTAATTCTTTCCGGTTGTGTCATTTTCTGTTGTTACGTTGGTGTTGTAGACGACGCTTGAAGTGAGGCAGTTGTTTTTCAGAGGGCAGTCGTTTTTTTTCCTGCAGTTGCATTTGTTTTCCGTGGAGGGTGTCTTGCTTGTTTTTAGGATTTTTCTGTTGTGCTTCTTAATTAAGGTTTGTAGGTTGTCTGTGCAGCTATAACTAACTTTCATGTTGTTTTTGTTGAAAATTTTGCTGTACCGGTGATTTTTCGGGAAATGTTTACTGACGAGGTTCAGAAACTCTCTGCCGATGTTTGTTTGTAGATTCATGCTGAAGGGCGGATTAAACCAAATTATGTTTCTTTGTCTGTTCTTGCGGCTGTCTGGTACGGTGTGAGTTACAGGTTTCTTGCGCTCAGTGTAGGTTAATTCTTCGTCGTGTCCTCTTTGCTTAAGTGCACTTTCGTAGTGTGGTTTGGCTTTGTTAAAGAGTTCTTTGCTTGAGGAAATGTCGGAGATTCGTCGGCCGATGGCTGCTGGAAGGTGTTTTATTATTATTTTAGGTGGATGGCTGCAATTGGTGTCGATGTAGAGAGTTTTGTTGTTGGGCTTTCTGTGTGGATAGTGGGTTCCGTCCGTAAGGTTTAGGGTGACGTCGAGGAAGTTGCAGATTTCTAGGTTTGTGCTTATACACAAGCCGCCAACAATAGCTCTATAGAATCTTTATTTCACACATAGATCAGATCATCATACTTATGAATTAATTAGCTACTCATCTAATTTGTATATTAGGAGGTATGTTCTTCATTGAATAAAGTTCTGTTTGACGAGCGCTTAGGCGCGAAACTCAGAGTAACAGAGAATCGATGCGTCCTCTTTGATTCCTTCACTTATTTATACCCAGCTCTGCTACCACAGCATTGAGCACTTTATGCCAAGGTAGACTCTGCCCCCACTTTTATATATATATATATATATTTTTTTTCTTTTCTTATGTATATTTTAAGTAGTTTTTAACTTTTATACTTTGTTCACGATCCCTCTGGAAACCAGCTTTTTATAATGTTGATGATAGGCTAAAGTGTTTAGGCAAAGGTGGTCTATCAAAGAAAAGACCTCCGAAAGGAAAGAAAAACCATTTGAAATGAACCATTTTTCAGGAAAAAAAAACCGTTTGCAATGAATAGGACATTTTTCCTCGTGATGACAATGTTCCTAGACCTAGTCTTAACGTGGAATGACAACAGTTCTACCCCTGCAGCACCAGGTAAGGAATTTTGCTTATTCGATATCATATCGACTGAAGATTTATATTGGGTACAGTTCAGTTTTTATAATTATTAGATACTTTTCAATGTACTTTAACATTTTTATGAATTACCTCAATGAGTGTAGTCTTTCTCAACTTTTCATTCACATGTCGTCCATTTTTGATATAGATCAAATATTTCATCCAGCTTTTTGCTTCACGAGTAAATGTCGGATCGTTTAACCAGAGCCAAGCATTTGGCCATGCATCTGTTATGATTAAGAGTATCGTGCAATATCAATCCGATTGAATTCATGAATGCGGAAAAACCTCCTTTAGTGGAGAGGTAGTCTTACTTTGAATCATTCTGCATTTAAATCATCTTTCATTGAGCATTGAAATAGTTTGGATAACAATAAACAGCTAAACCGATTTTTCTCTTTAGTCCCACCGAGCATATCCTTGCCAGCTGTTGTGGAAGCCTTCCCAGGTTACTTCGTGACAATTCCGGTGACTGGAACTCCACCGACATACACAGCAATAATAAGAAATTCTACAGTGTTGGTAAACACAACAGGAACTGCAGCCTTTCGGTTCTATGAAGAGTCGAATTGCACTTGTGTGGCCTCCAGCAACTATGGGTCTGATGTAAATGAATTCTCTGTGATTTTAAAAGGTCAGGTGATATCTTCCACATTACGAATATTCTGTGCTTAAGAATATTGATGTGAACATGCTTAATTTATTCGAAACTTAAATCAGGGCAAGTTTTTCACAATCACCACTTTTAAATCACCTCAACCGTTGTTGCTTCCGTAACTGAAACGAAGGACGCCATCGAACTTTTAAGTTTTATATGCTTTTAATAACTCCATTAAAGTAATGGCATCGATGGCAATATGAATTCTCGGTTTGCGTCCAGTTTTCAAAATAAACTCACCAAAATGTTTTTTTTACATTAAATTAAACATGACAATGTCGTATTTTTGTGTACTCTAGTGGTGGACTTAAGGTAAACAGTTTTGTTGGTCTCAATGAAAATCAAGATAGTCCGATTGCAGATGATATATTCCAACGGGAGAAGTTTCCGTGTTATTTTCCTTTAGATTGTGGACACGTTTGTCGTTCTTTGTGGATTGGCTCGATGTTTGGAAACATTCTCAGTTGCCGCAACGTGACCACGACAGAACTTATGAAGTGCCTTTCACCATTGACTGAATCACTGTAAGAGGCTGTGTTTTAAACTTTGCGAAAATTCAAGTTACATCTTTGAAGAAGTCATAATATATCTTTGTGAAAATTGGAGATAATTTTATCCATTGGACGAGAAACGTTTTTCAGCGCCAAGCTGGGGTCGAATCGACCACGTGAGCAGAACTGGTAATCTAGATGAACACGTGAGACCACGACTTACCTAAGGAGCACCAACACGATAGCATCGGAATCATATGCCAATTGCACCATGTTGCAAAATCGTAGTAAAAAGTTTAATTGAATCAAATCATAGGATGCCATGGCTTGTTTTTGCGGTCCTATAACAACCGTTCAATTTAAGGTTTCCCGTCGATGGATAAGTCAAGCCGAGCAGTTCAACCAGGTTATCCAATAGCAATTAAGTAACGCTCCGATAATCCAGGAAAGCAAAAACAGTAGGCCCGCCGTTCACGTGATCGTTAAAGATTGGTGTCTGGAAGCATCTCGATTTTATTCATGCAGCGCTCTCATTGGGTAAAGAAGGATTAGTGCGAAATTCAAATAGATTTGCTTAACCAGCTAATCTTAAAACAACGATTACTGCGCTTTCTATAACCCTATTTAGTTTATATAAGTGAAATCAACATGCAGAGCGAGTCATTTATTCCACTCAAGACAGTCCCTAGTTGCCGAGTATTCAGATAAAGCCAATTTTAAATCGTGTTTTATGTGTAACGCTTAAGATCGCCCTTTGCGTAGTCCATTACAGCCTTGTTCTTGAAATGTTTCGTATGCTCTCTATCCTGGTTAAGTTGTCTTCTTAAAGTAGCTTTGACCCATCTATTTTCATGTCGATTGCATTGACGAAACTGATTTATTCTCACCCCACCATGCCTCCGCTCGTCATGACGAGAACAATAACAATAACACAAAGATTCAAACGGCCTTTAGGCTAACTGTGAAGGTTTTACGATGAACATTCATAATTTTTTAACTTATTTATAACAAATAAAAGTCAATGTCCCTGCTTTTTTCAACGAAATCCTTCAATGACTCGAAGGTGCTGTAACCAAATAAGAAATGAAAAAATGGATTATAACGTTATATTCCTTATTGATATCCTCGTGAAGAATAATTGTGAAACGTCGAATGGATGAATTGTGTCACATAAAGTTAAGGCCGTTTTTCGAATCCGAGTTCATCAACAACTACGTGCTTATGTTGACCTATACGACCAGAAAAAATACTATGCACATGTTTACAGTCTACGTTAGATGGTCAGCTCCTGGAACTTGAAAAGTGAAATCTTCTCTTTCCATCTTCCAGTGACTCCACCTTTTTCATTAACTTGCAGCATACTTCATTCCGGCAATTTGTGGAATCTTCCAATAAATATGTTTTCAGGCGTAACAAAGCTAAAATTTCTGTAAGTGAGAACATCTTACATTTTTAAAGACTGGAACCCTGGATAATGCAATTCAAGAGTTTTCATTGGCTTACTTATCATGGGTCATGAGCCATAATACCATGCTCTACAAATATGGTAAATGTACGCGTCAAAAAAATAAAGTTTACAAAATTAAGCTAAAAAGGTTACTAATATTTTGGGGCGTTTTTGATGCAACAATTATTCCACTCGCGCTTGTTAGATATGACATTATTATAGTCAACTCGGCCCTGCGGGCCTCGTTGGTTATAATCGTTGTAACAGTGGGAGTTGCATTAGTCTTGCTCTTTAAGATAGAGACCTAACTTGTAGAAAGATACAGGATATTGCACAGTGTATGTTTCTTCATTTAAACAATTTGTTGCGCTTAGTGATGAGACATTTCTAAAAGGAAGAGAGAAAACAATGTTCCCCTCAGGCAAGTACCATCCGATTTATTAATAGGGCATGATCTAATCACATAGAATGTTCTTGACTGTTGCGCATGCCTATATAAGGTATGTTGGTAACAAGCTGTAGCTGTTATCGCTCGATAAGTTTTCAATGGAGTTGTGTTGCACACTACAAGTGACTTCTACAACAGCATAGCGTGATTAAAAAGGCTAACTGTGCAATACTGACCTACTGAGAAGACCTAATCTTCCTTGATTTACACAAAAGACAACTACTTCGACTCAACATTTGCACAGCAATAAGATAAAGAAAACGGTAAAATTAGCCTTTGATTTACTAAATCGCAATTCAAATTATCAGTTTATATTTCGATAAGGGGTTTGAAATCAAGTGGTATAATGACTCTTAACTTCACCAAACTTGTTCCTTATGTAAAACTGTAAAAACGTTGTCGTAGCAGTTAAACCATGTGAATTTAATTTTGATTTTCCAGATGTAATTAGATTGCTTTAAAACTTTGTCTCATCTAGACGTACTGTTGTGTGGCTCTCAAACCAACTCTGATATTTGTATTTGTAAGGACTCTAGGACTCAATTTTTAAAATGACTCGATTCAGTTCACAAGATCTTGTCATCGTCGTTATCTATGATGGTTTCTAGATTTTTCCCTCGCCATTGGTTTTATATGGTCTGCTAATCTACGTAATTTGTACTTTATATTTCGACTAGCTGAAACTGAAATCCAAAACGATTCAATAACAAAAAATATATTTGTATCTTTATTAATTTCCAGTATAAAACTTCAAACTTCAACAGGGTTCTATCTTTCAATACTTTTACGTCTTTGCCCAAGAACTTGTTTGCGAACCAAAAGCACCTGGAATTGCTGTGAGTTACAAAAACTACGACTTGTTTTCCTTATGAAAATTCTCCCGTAGCTAAGATATAAATGATGAGTAATATAGTAATAATAATAATGAATGATATCTCAGCCAATAACTTAATTTATCAATTGTTTTTCATTTCTTCACTTTTTATTCGTTGTAATCTAAATGACGTCCTTACAGCACAGAATTGGAAATGGAAGCAAAGGATAAAATTTCAATTGGTGGTTACAACTTTGCTAACTCCTCGTTTTCTAAATGCATTTTGCCTTCCCCGCCTCCATTAAAGACTTTGATGACCGCATCTGGACCCGTTGAAACCCGTCTTTTTTACGTCCTGATCTCTCCATGATAGTAAGGACTCTCTGACCAAACCCTGAAGAACGACCGTAATCAGTCCACTAACCTTCCTTTTGACGACGTTAATATTTTTCCTCTGTGTTAAAGTGTGTACAAAATTGCTAATCTCTGATTTACATTTAACGAAACCGATATTCAAAACACACCAGTAACAACACCTAATCTGTTATTTCAAATGTAACTAAAACAATTCAATTTTTTGATAGGAACTTGAAATCAAACGCTATAACGTCTTTACCCAAAGGCTTGTTTGCCAACCAAAAGCAACTGAGACGGCTGTGAGCTTCAAAATGATTAATTTTTCATCTCTTGAGTTACATCAGTTTTCATTAAGGATTTCTCTATCAAATACTTCCAGCGAAGAATTTGAAAAGATCTTAGTCACTAGATTACTAGATCAACAGGACTTTGTCATGGTATACTGAGAAAATCGACTGCAGTTAAAAAGTAAAAAGTAATTTTTTAGTGTTAGCATACCTTGCTTTTAATATTTGACGCGTGTGTGAACTTGAAAAAATCATGACAAAAAGAGTAATAATAAAGATAATAATGGTCATACTTTCATGTTTTCACAGCTTTCCACAAGGAAATGCAATAACTTGTTCGCCCGAGAACTTGCTTGCTAATGAAAGTAACCCATACAGCTGTGAGAAACAAAAATTCACGAGTTTGTTTCCATAAGAAGAAAATATTATTCTGATCGTTTAGGCGAAAGGGACAAATATTTTTCCCTTTCAATTAGAGAAGATAAAATTTTCCGACCTCAATTTTTCAGCATCTTTCGGAAAAGGTTTTTTTTTCTAAGTAAGGCGATGCTATGCATTGCTGCATTTCTTCCTGTCATTTTCCAGATTGCACTCAAAGTTCATTAGTTGGTCTGTCTAAGAAACCAAATTAAAACAAAACGAATTAAAATCAAACTAAAGTTCCAAATATGAAGCCATAACCCATTTAGTAAGAAATCGAGTACCAAATAGTACGTGCCATAATAACACATTTCACCTCATTGAGGAAAAGGAATAAGAATAAGCATTTCATTCAAATGTCTTCTCACTACCTGGCGAGTTATTGTGGTCACCCAACCACGTGACAACTCAATCCAGAATGGCCTATGTTTACTGAAAGAATATGAGAAGAAAAAAAACATTGATAAAGTGCTCTCGACCACCGCTAACTATATGCTGTCGTCGGGATTTTTAGAATCAAACGCTAATATATAGATTTAGCCAAGCCTAAAAGCGGAGCTCTTATCAGTTTCTTTTCTAGCCCTTCATTATAATAAAAACTGTGATAAAACTCTTCACCATTGGCTGTTGAAGAGTTTCCTCAAGGGAATTTAGGGGCTTTGACGAAGGGCCGTGGCTCGAAACGTCAGCTTTAAACTCTTTGTCCGGTGGCCAATTTACGTTATCAACTCGGTTGATGAAACTAAATACTCTGATTTGGGAACCAGTCCGGGGGTGGGGAGGGGGACTAACGTTTCAACCTTCCCTAACTTTTCAACCCCCTCTGATAAGGGTACAAAATTGAAAAGAATATAAATTTTTTTAACTCGTGTTTAAATCTGTTATTTTTTGTCACTTTTTCTCTTTCGACTGTTCTTGTTTCACGATTGTCCTCTGGCTGGAAATACACGGCGTCTTTTTGAAATCTTGTTCTACTATTTAATTTGGTAACCCCTGCTGTAACTGCATACAGCTGTAGCTATAATTTAGGTGGGTTCAAGCTAACTGTCCATGATCTTAGCAACTCCAGTTACTGAAATACGAAATTTGTCCGACATGTTTCTTGCGCTGCGAAAGTGTGATTTAAAGACAAGCTAGAACTAGAATATCATTATTAAAACTTGATGACGAAGAGAGACTTAGGATTAGACCATGAAGGCATTTGAGGAAAACTTTAGATAATACTTGGATTTCATTTGTACACTACAGAAATCAGCTCCAAACATCAATCAAGTTTTCTCTTTGGTTTAAAAGTTGAATTGATGTTGTTATTGACTATATTATAGAGGTTGAAAAGATTTAGATGGTTTCTCTCATGTTTGCAAATAACTATACTTTCTAACGTTTTGCTAGCTACGCTGAAGTGTGTTCGTCATGTATGATTCGTGCTAACTGTAGAAGCATTTTAGGCGTGCTTGTAGGTATGATAAATCCCTTAGGGCTATTAGGCTATTTGAGATTTTTTAAGTTGTGTAAGAGCCACCCGACGGCATCTCTTCCAACTTTGCTACATCTGTTATGCCGTCGGATACAGAACGAGCGAGCGTTCCTGCTTCGATTTCTGAATCCTTTAATGAGGAAGATCTTGCTCATGCGACTGGTTCATGATCAATAGACTCGACGTTGTTCAACGCCGAGACTTCGGAGTTGTTTTCACAGCTTTTGGGCTTGAAGTTTGACCAGAAGTTCGCTGCATTCAAACGTGATCTAGACGAGAAAGAAGCTATCACTCAGTCCCAACTGAAGAAGCTGAAAACTGAATCCAAGGCTTCGAGTTCTTTTAACTTCAAAGCAAAAAAAGTACAATACAGGTTCAACAGCTCTCTACTAGATGCAATAGACGGGGCTGTCAAGACCATCTCAAAAGGCAACCTTTCAGCAGCCAATTCAGAGCTCAAAAGAGTGAAAATTCTCATTACTAAACGCAACAAGTTAATTCATTTCGCATACAAGAGCCTCGCTGGTTGGACAGTCGTTGAAGGTTATGAATCGGCCGAACCAATGATTCAGAGGAGAGAAAAAGCTCCCATCGGCTGAGAGACGAGCACTCGTTAAGATTCGGGAGAGGAAGCGTAGAAATGTGTCTAGCCGGCCTAACCCTACAACTACTCTTAATTCAGCGAGGCTCCATTTGCTGGATCATCCATTGGCAGTTCTTTTTCTCCTGATCAGCCTCCTTTTTTGCATGGAGTCTTTTCGTGGACGTCAGCCTCAAAAGGCAGACAAGCGCTTTAGCTGCGGACAGAGAGGCCACTGGGCGAATTCTTCCTCCTGCCCAAACCGTTTTAGAGGAACCATTCCAGCCGTTACAAGCAGTAAAAATACAAACTGACGATAAATAACTACCAGTTTTCCAGAAACTAGGGCAAGATAAGTATGATTTAGTTAGTTTAGTTAAATGTTTAGGAGACTTTTACCAACTTGAGCTTATTGGTAACTTTGCTGAATCATCTGATTCGCTCCACAGTTGTTCTAGCGCCTATTGTTAAAGTTAAAGGCAATCTTAAGCTTAATGTAGCTTTTTGGGAGCATATAGGTGCTTCTAGCTTCATTCTCGATACTATTTTAGATGGGTTTAAGATTCCCTTCATTTACACCCCACCTTCACCACATTTTTTTACTAACCGCTCAACCATTCAGGATAGCGATTTTGTAGAGCACGCCATTTCTGATCTCCTGGCTACAGGTTAAGTGATTGAATGCGAGTCTGCTCCTACTGTTGTTAACCCCTTATCAGATTCTATACAGTCTAATGGTAAGAAAATGCTTATTTTGGATTTACGGCACCCTAATTATTTTGTTATGGAATCCAAGGTAAAATTCGAAGACGCTAAAACCATGCTTTTTAGCTTTGTCGATAGTTCCCAGAATTGGTTTTTCAATCGATATCAAATCTGGTTGTCATCATATAGACATTTTCCCGCTATATCAAGAGTTTTTAGGTTTTTCCTGGTCCAAGGATGGGTTGAGTTACTTTTACAAATTTATTCTTTTATCACGTAGGCCTTTGCCGCCGGCCCTTATATCTTTACCAAAGTCATGAGGCCATTAGTGCGCCTTCAGGCTTTCAGAATAGCTGCGTATTTGGATGATGGTTTAGGGGTATACCCTACATTCGCCGAGTGTTGCTCCCAGTCCATGGCCGTAAAATCGGATTTGTTCTGTGCAAATTTTGTAGTGAATACCCAGAAAAGCATCTGGGCTCCAGTTCAGTCTCTTCGTTGGTTGGGCTATCGCTTGGATTTTTAAGGATAACTTGCTGACTGTGCCTGAGGAAAAAATTGACAAGTCTCTCAGAGTAGTCTACCTGCTAGGCAACTGGCTACTGTCACGGGTGGTATTATTTCTAATACGCTCGTTTTCGGTAATGTGTGCAAAATTATAACTAAGAGTCTTCAAAGGGCTCTTAACCGTAGAGAGGGATGGGTGTCTTACGATGATTTGGATTCCTGCGCTCGCAAGGAGTTAGAGCTCTGGAAGAATAATGTTTCTCATCTCAATTCCAAGTGTTTTGCAGACATTGCTCGCAAACCGTCTCGAATTGTTTACTCGGACGCTGGTGCTGTTGGATGTCATGCTTTTATTGCCATCGACGACACGCCTGTTTCCCAAAACAACTGGGATTCTTTTCAGATGAAACAGAGTTCCACGTGGAGAGAACTTCACTGTGTTAGCTTTGCATTACAAGGTTTTGCACATCTTTTTTCAGGGTGCTCTGTTTGGTGGTTTACTGACAACCAGGTTGTTCCTCTGATTGTCGATTGTGGTAGTATGAAACAGCATTTGCACTAACTCACGGTTGATGTATTTCATAACGCCAAAGAAAATAATATGGAAATCGAGGCCGAATTGATATCTCGTTCACTAAACGAGAAAGCCGATTACTTGATTAAAGTTGTCGTCTATGATGATTGCTCAGTTAAAAATTGCTATTTTCGTGCTGTTACCTCTTATTGGGGTCCCTGTTCAGTAGATTGTTTCGCTAAATCCCGATGCTTTGGGCGTGGATTCCCTAGCCTTTAGCTGGGCAAGAGAATTCTGTTAGCTAGTGCCACCTGTTTCGTTTGTTAAAAATGTCATCCGACATTATGTTTACGCCAATGTAAAGGAATTCTGGTTATTCCTTATTGGCCTTCAGCTCCCTTTTGGCCCTTCTTGGTTGAACGTAGCGGGGATTTTCAAACCATTTATTATTGATTTTCTCTTTCCCCTTTTTGGCTTAGAGAATTTTAGTACCCCAATGTTTTTTCTGCTGCTTGAGGGAGCTGTTCAGTACAGTGTCCAGCAGAACCTGTTTATGAGACATAATGTCGCCCGACCACTCGACTATGTTTTATGAGGGACTGCCCGTTCATCATGTGTTGGCCATGGGTGATTACACTTTTTTTTGGCCGTTAGGCCATGTCATTCTTTGTGCGGGACAGCCCGTTTACAGCCCTCCTTATGTTCTTGCTTGCGTTGTATTTACATTGTTTCTATTTGTTATCACATTTCTTGTTATTTCTCATGTTTACAAGGTGGACGTGCGTTTGCATCAAAGGTTGCCCACTTAAGGGATCCAGAGTTTCGCAGGTTAGCGAAAGGTCTTCCCTTGCGTGCTGCTAAAGCAAAGGCCCCTTCAACTACGGAGCGTTATTGAAGACCCTTTTAAAAAATTTAGAGAATGGTCCTCATGCTTTGAAGAAGTCGTTTGCTTACCGTCTGATGAGATGTCAGTTGCCCTTTATTTGGAGTTTTTGTTACAGCAGAGTATCCCCTACTCCACACTTGAACCAGCCTGCTATGGTATAAACTGGGCACACGATTTGCATGGCTTTCCAAGTCCTTCTGATTCTAAATTGGTAACAATTATGCTCGAGGCTGCAAAGGGGGAACTTGTAAAACCTGTTCAAGAAAGAACCTGTTACTCCGGAGATGATTTTAAGGATATATGACAGGTTTGCGGGTCCCAACGTTAATCTATCTCATCTTCACTCAGCTGCAATTTGCGTGACTGTCTATTCGGCTTTCCTCCGTCACAACGAGTTAGCTGGCCTTCGTTGTTCTGACGCTAGTTTTTTTCGATGCATTTGTGAAGATTTATTTATTCAAGAGCAAAACAGATGTTTATAGGGATGGCACCCATCTGTTGGCAAAGTCAGGCTCAGTTTCTTGTTCTGTTCACATGCTTTACAGATACGTCCGTGCCGCTAATTTAGACTTGTCTTCTTCGTTGCCGTTTACTCGCTCTTTACATTTTAATAAAGCTACGTCTTTTTATAATTTGCGTTCCACGGGTATGAGTTAAACCCGAACTGGGGAAATAGTTTCACAAGCGTTTGCGGAACTAGGCACACTTGTTTGGTTCACACAGTTTAAGAGCAAGAGGTGCTTCTGCAGCCGCCAACGCAGGCGTCAGTGATCAACTCTTTAAACGTCACGGCAGATGGAAGACAGATCGAGCCAAGGACGGCTATAATAAGGATAATGCAGAGTCTTTATTCTCAGTATCTAGAAGTTTGCATACTTAGTTTTCATTGTTCGCTTTCTTTATCTTCTAAAACGGGTATCAATAAACGAGATGCCCAATCCTGATGCTGTGTTTGTGTCTATTGAGATTAGTTACAAAAATATTTTATAGTCGTTTCAGAGTGATCAGAGTATAGATATAGTTTGGGACATTTTGCAAACGGCAGTGAAGTATGTTGATCATGTATTATTCGTGTCAACTGTAGAAGTATTTTAGGCGCGCTTGTAAGTATGATAAATCCTTAGGGGCTACTAGGCTATTTAAGATTTTGTAAATTATGCAAGAGTCACTCGAAGACATCTCTTTCAATTTTGCTTTCATTCACTACTGTACTTTCGTTATGATGATGTAACGCTCGCTGTATCTTGCATCAATAAACGAGATGCCTGCTCATGATGTTGTGTTCGTGTTTATTTAGATTAGTTACAAAATATTTTATAATCGTTTGAGGGTGATTAGAGTATAATTGAGTTTTCTAGAAAGTGGAGTTGTTGTAACATGTTAACATTAACCACTGTCAACAATAAATTTTATTGATATGGAAAAAGTTTTTAATTAGACTATCTACTGGCAATTCTTTATATCATATTTCAACCCAACAATTTTTCCTATTACAAATAATCAGTCAGGGAAATGGAAATTTGGGGCATATACACCATTTCTCAAATGCCATTTCCAGAATAAGCTAACAGGATCGAGGAGGGTGTATGTGGGAATGGGCTCGCTTGTTTGAAACATTAATTTGCTAATCGTTCCAGTTGCCAATGTTTTGATGAGGTTGGGCTGTCAAGGAACTGAGGATTTTTAGCGGGCAAAGTGACTTTTTTTTAATCCTGGAAACTATCATTGTGAAAAGCCAACTCATTCTTACTCTGATAAGCTAGTCTTAAGAAGGATACAATATTTTATTACATAGATTTGATGGATAGGCTATGCACAAAACTTTAATTTGACTATGCTGTTATAACCATTACCAATCCCTGCACATAATAATATGTTAGAAGGGTCAGAGGAAAAATTTGTGTGCCATACATCTGCAAGTTTTTATGTTATTATTTCAATTACATGAATATTAACTGATACTAGATCTAAGAATATTCAAAATAGAAAATTTGGTTGAAAATTAGAATTCAGCATACAACACCTGCCTGTATCTGTGCAGCACGTAGTAAAGTCATTCGAAGTAGTCATAATTCCAGTTCTAATGTTTAAAACACGCACATGCAGATTTCCAATAAACCTGTAGTTCAAGCCTGCCATAACTTCAAAATTCTGGTGCACACCTCAAAAGGAGAACAAATAAATTTCAAGTTTCTATTTATTCAGTTTAGATTAGTAAGATAAAATTGAGTCAAACTTTCACACGATGATAGGATCAAGACATTTTCACAACTAACTTATGAGGTTAGCCTACCTGAAACAGTAACCTTAACGTACACATTAGGAAAAATCACTGTTTTACAAGAAAATAAGAATCGGTAGCAAACCACAGCCCTGGGTCAGTCATTTACTTTAGACTTAAGGGAGTGCTTTAAAAAGAGAAATTTGCTCATGCACGAAAGACCTATCTGTGGTAAGAGGGCAGGCTCTCCTTTCTTCATTTTAAACAAATACAGAGGTTATCATCTTTCCACAACCTCAGTGGACAGTGAGAATGAATGAGACTAATAGTGACTATGTTGTTTGAGTAAATATCCAGGGGAAGATAAAATTAGGATATGGTCTGCACAACTCTATTATTTTAATTTTTTAACATAAATAGCTATGGCATTTATATTCTTGCTTTGTGCATTATGTGGACACCAAGTAATTTAACTTTCATTCATCAAAATACAGAAAATGTTCTCTTCATCTACGTTCCCTAAACATTAAAGGGGAGGAGGCTGATCAAAGTGAAAACATGAATTAAAATAGGAGGCCCCCTTTGATTTCAGTCTTTATTAAAGGACCATCCTTGCTTTTCCAGATCCCTACCCTTTAAAACTCACATCTCTTATAACTAATTCCTTATATCAATGTTTAGTTTGGGTATCAGCATTGGCAAGAAACACCATGCACTATTAAAAGCCTAAGCAAGAGTATTTAATGCAATCTAAATAACATCACATGTTACAACGTAGTAACGTACACAGCAAAACTTTTTGGATACAGAGGTCAACAAAGAACAACATAACCTTCACATACACATTAAACCAGGTTTATAACCATAATGCAAAAAATTACCTTCATTTACAAGAAAATAATGAATGAGAATTGGTAGCAAACCACAGCCCTGGGTCTGCCATTAAATTTTAATCTTCAGAGAGTGCTTTAAACGCAGCAATTTGCTCATGCACAAAACAACTATCTGCTGTAAGAGGTAGGCTTTCCTTTCTTCTTTTTAAAAAATATGGAGGTTATTTTTTTCCAAAAGCTTAGTTGACAGTAAGAGTGAATAAGACTGATAATGACTAGGTTGTTTGTGAAAATATCCAGAAGGGGATTAAAAAATTAAGATATGGCTTGCACATCTCTATTATCTTAATTTTTTAACCTAAAAGGCAAAGGCATTTATATTTTTGCCTTGTGCATTACGTGGATGCCAATTAATCTAAAGTCCCTTTGACACCTATTTTTTAACATTAAATCTTCAAAATCGAAGCAACTAGAAAGGGTCTGGTAAGATTTGATAATGATTCTCATGGGTCTTTCTTATTTTCTGGAGCAAAAATACAAAATGCAAATTAAAAGGAGGATTCCTTGCTTTTCCAGATTCTCATCCTTTAAAACATACATATATTGTGACCATTCCTTATATCAATGTTTAGTTTGGGTATGAACATTTGTAAGAATACCTTTTGTTGTTTATGAGTTAACTACTATACGTATTCAACAAAGAACGCCATCTTTAATCTATCCCTATCTATTTATGATAGAATCTTGTGCGTACATACTTCATGTAAGCTAGCACAACACCTTACACTATTGATAGCTTGAACCTGAGTATGTAATGCTATCCAAGTAACATTACATGTTACAATGTGGAACCTAATGCAAGATTATTTAATAATACGAAGTCAGGTTACAGACTCGCCTGCTACAACTCTCAAAAGTTCGAAAGCTGAATGGGATACATTACAATCATTGAACCCTATTCATCTTAGCAGAAATAGGGTCAATTATCACCTTAACTACTCTCATACATTCATGCTTACAAGAAATCATTAACTTTTGTCACTTCTGTAGCTGGCACTTTACTCGATGTACTTTTTCTTTTCTTAGTGAATGACTGTACAGGTCATATGGAAGGTACATTCCTGTATAGGGACTGACATTTCATTTACTTCAGCTAGCTGAAATCATCAGGGCCCAGTTGCAAAAAGGTCGGATAACGCTATCCAACGGGTAAATCGCTATCCAGCGCTTACATGATAGCAAGACTTACTGCGTTATCCACCGTATAGAGATTTATCCAATTGATAGCTTTATTCAACCTTGGAACAACCGGGGCCAGAATTACAAGCGAAGATGTAGTTACCATGTGCTCAAGCTTCCTAATAGTCACCTATATTACAGTCAACTTCACCCGTTATCCGGGCTATCTTCAGCTTGATCATCCTGTTACGTGTGAAAAAATCAAATGTTACTCACATATTCAAATAATTTACTGAGTCAAAAGTTCTATTTTTTTAAAATAAAACCTTTAATTGTGCTCAAGAAGTATTAAATGGTATTGAAAAGAAAGGAAGAAAGTTCTTGGAACATTCTGTATTTAATGAAAATTCATCACGATTCATAATTTCATCATAATTTAACTTCCGATGTTTGACGGTTACTCACATGACAATATTGTCAAAATCAAATTATCGCGTCATGCTTACTTGTTTCTATATTCCCTTCTCACGCTGGTCTTCGCTAGATATCCGCCTCTTCTTGTTTTCTAACGTGTTCTGCCTTTTTTCGCGTTTTTCTCGGCTTGTTCCAAGCCTTTTAGTTCTAAGGCCTGTTCCAAACGTCGTGCTACTGCCGTGCCGAACTCAAATGAAATAGTAATTTCGATTTAAGCACGGCAGTAGCACGCCGTTTGAAACCATTAAGCCGGCACGGCTGAATTAGGTTCGGCACGACTACTTAGCGCGGCAGGCCTTGCCGTGCCGCACGGCAGTAGCACGACTTGGTTTCAAACGTTGTGCTACTGTCGCGCCGAACTCAATTCATAAA